AGAAGAGCCTTTGCTGGCTTCTCAGCCACTTACCGCCAGAGATCACCAGGGCTTCCTGAAAGTGACCACTCTTGTCGCTTTGTCTCCATCTTGTATTCACAACCTAAAACGGGAAGCCATTGGCATTGCAAACTCTCAGGTGAATAATACCTTAAGTTGCAGCCATCACAGAGAGAGAACGTGGGGTTTGTCTTGGAAATAAGGAAATGTGGCATGTAGAGGGAAAGGGAAAACAGTTTTTTCCTTCTTTTTAATGATTGCATAAGTAATATTCCAATTGAGTATGTTTTCCTCAACGGTGATCATGGTCATTAAAAAAACACATGCAGGACATTCTGCTTAAGATTCAGTAAGACATCCCGGTATGAAATCTCAAAGCAGTCCCAGTATCAAGCACCACCAGACCCAGTTGAAGGCCTGGGTAGACCAAGTAGATAAGAGCGTTAGAGTTCTTAACTGAAAGATTGGCGAATCAAGCTCAAGCCAAGGGAACCTCGAAAGAAGGGCCCTGTGATTGGAAAAACCAGCCATTGAAGACCCACAGTTCTATTCCCACCCCACGACAGAGGCAAAATATACTGGGTGGCTCATTTGTCTCTTTATACCAACATCCAACATCAGCTCCTCGCTCACTGTCATCAAGCCGGTGCTGACTCGCAGCGACCCTATAGGCCACAGTCGAACTCCCCTTCTGAGTGTCCAAGTCTGTACACTGCTTACAGGAGGGCGAAAGCCCCATCGTTCTCCCTCGGAGAAGCAGTGGGTGGTTGGCTTCTAAGCACGCTCAAAAACCACACTGCCTGAAAGTATATGTTCAGAGATGCATCCTCTGAGTTTGAACCTGTTACCCACTGAATACCACAGACCGCCCTCAATACTAAAGTGAATTTTTATAGTGGACATTTTCCCATGCTCCTCTGATTTAAAATTCAGAGGCAAATTGACATTTTAATTGCACGAGGATAACAGGAAACTACAGACATCTGCATTCATTTCCCCCAGCTGGAAGTTCCTATGGGAAGCTTTGGTATTTTCCTGCAGAATATTGCGATTTGGCATAGTAAGCGGGATGGAGAAGAAGAATGAGATGTTCTTTTGATCCAGCCAATAAATGCATCTGAACCACACCTTTCCTATGATAATGCTGTCGATTTCCCCCACGCCTTAGTGTTAGAGCCCTCTGGTGTGGCCAGGAAGGGGTGGGGGGGCTCGCAGCTCCCTGCAAAAGCACTCACACTGCTCCCCTTCAGATCACACTTGGGGAGGGTACGGAATGAACTCTCCTCCAGGCCCAGTGACTCCAGGGGCTTAGGAAACAGCTTAGAGTGAAGAATTGTTTTCTCTGCGTTATGCCCCAACATTCCTGCAAGAGCAGACGGTCATCAGTTGATCTCTGTAAATGACTGCAGTTTTGGCAGGTGTCAGCTGGTACAGAAATTGCTCACATGTTTAGGCTGTTTTCTTAAGCAGAGGACAACGAGGGAGGACAGATCAGAAGATAACCTCACCTTGAGCCTGTTCACAGAAGCAGCTTACCTGAAATGCCTTGTTCTTATTGGGTTTCTCAGTGGCACATGTCCCCAAGGCCTGTGGCTGAGGCACAATCAATTAGACAGTGTTTCCAGAAGGCTGGCCGTAGACGCCACCACTCTAAGCTCCACGTGAGCAGGGTGAGCTCGGACACTTCATTCCCTCTGGTCACTTGCTGTCCTTGACATAGTGTTCTCCAGCACCACCACGGGCCACCCAAGGAATGTGGTGCTGCTTTGTATCGAACCTGTGGGAAGCCTCTGTACTGTTTATTTCACTGACCAGCATTCTCTCTGAGGCCAGGGAATTTTCTGGAAGCATTTGCCCTCCAACCAGTTAAGCATAGGTTCCCACATTTATTTTTGCCTATTGCCCCCTTTGCAGGAAAAAAAAAAACTAACAATCACCCCGTGTCCCCTGGCCCTTCAAACTCAAACTCATTACCATTGCATTGATGCCAACCTACCGTGACCCTACCAGACAGGGTAGAATTTCCCCTGTGGGTTTCTAAGATTGTAACGCTTGACCAGAGTAGAAAGCCTCATCCCTACTGAGTGGCTGGTGGTTTTGAACTGCTGACCTTGTGGTTGGCAGCCCAACTTGTAACCCACTAAACCCCGCTGGGCTGCTACTATAGCCCACAGTTCAAGATCAAGTACAGGTATCTGATTTTCCCCTCCCTCCTCTTCCCCCAATAAGTTTGAGGGTCCCCTCTGGGGTGATCTTGCCCATTTGGAAAACACTGGATTAAGTGCTTCACTGGTGAAAAGGTTAGCTGTGTGAACCCAGACAGAGATCCCTCCAAAGGCAAACATGTTCATCTACTGCCAAATGCCACAGTCCTGCAAACCCCACGGTGCAGTTCTACCCCGCAATTCACAACCACCCTCCTTTCAATGATGCAAGTCAGCCAGGAAACCAAGAGCAGGCCGCTCAGCAGCCAGACCCACCTGCTTCTCTCCCTCACCCCCAGTGCCAGGTGCTGGGGAGAGATGGAAGGAGCTGGCTAGTGGTGCTGTGAATGGTTTCTTTGGGGTGAGGATGATTTGGTTTTCTGCCAGAAAACTTCAGGTTTCACTGTCTGGTCACTGGGCCACTGTGGCTCTGTCCGCAAAGAGGAGAGACACCAGGCTGCCATCCTGACAGGGTGAGATAGGAAGTTTTAGACAGAGGCCTTATCATACTGCTAACGGGAAGGGATGACCGGCTGCTTCAGGACCTGGCCCCCGCGGCTCCCCGCCACTGGCCGCTGCTTAAAATACTCTCCCTTAAGAGGCCTCACGTGTGTGGCTGGCCTGCGTGACTCGGGGAGTTTGCCTTCTAGTCGGGGGCGTGGGCCTAGGCGCTGAATCCGAGTCCCAGATTTGCTTGGTGACGAATGGACGAGGGAACACAGCATCTGAACTATACAAATATTATGCTGAAGTATTTTTCCTCATCCGGGAGCCAAACAGGTCTTGTTAAGGATAAAATCGCTGCAATATAGTAGGCCCTTCTTCTGGTCTGGAATTTGAGACCACAGTGACGGTGCCAAGGGCCTGGCGGCAGGAAGAAAGAGCCAGGCTCGGAGATTTGGGGCCGTAATGCAAGTTATAAAATTTAATGTTGTAATTGTAGCAATCGGAAGCCGGGGTTTAAATGTACCGCCCCCACTCCCGCTCGTACCCCAGGATTTGGAAATCTGGGGAGTGGGTTAGTGGAATCGGGGATCCTTTCTAACTTAAGATTCGGTTCGGGCATGTGAAAGAGTACTTGAACATGGCAATGAGCAGGCTTCTCCACTCTTCTTCTGGGGACACTTGACATCAGGAGGTGGGGTGTGTGTGTGTGTGTGTGTGTGTGGTGTGTGTGTTCGCGTGTGTACTGGTCAATGAGTCTTCATTCGAGCCTCAAGGGTGAAGAGGGCGTCCTCCATGCCCCCTTGTTGCTAAACAAGGCTGAGTTTTCTAGTTCAAAGACATGTAGGTGTTAGATTAGGGGAGGACAGAGGGCCCGTCCCCTTGGCCTGGCCCGGTGATAGTGACTTTGAGGAGGAGTGAGGAGAGGCCCCTTCTGCCTTCACAAACACTAACAGGGGAGCTGTGTTAGTCTGGGTCAACTAGAGAAGCAAATTTGCTGACACTCATGTGCGTGTAAGAAAGAGTTTTATATCCAAGAGTAAGTATATATTAAGAAAATATCCCGGCCAGTTCAGATCAAGTCCATAAATCCAATATTAGCCCATATGCCCCATACTAGGTCATAAATTCCTCTTTAGACTCACGCAACACATGCAATGATGCTGAATGCAGGAAGACCACAGGCCAATGGGTGGACGGTCTTGTGCATCCAGTGGCAGTAGAGCATCTCAGTGCTGGCATGGGTCTCCATGTGGCTCTTCCAGCTCTGGGGCTCTGGCTCCATCAGCATAGCCCCATGTGGCTTGTCAGCAGGAATGTTTAGCAGAGAGGGCGTGTGTCCCGCCTCCAGGGAGGAAGACAGGAGTTCCCAGAATCCTCAGGAAAAGGCCACGCCCACACTGAGGCCTCAGTGGCTAAGACCTGATTGACAGGCTAGACTCCACCCCTTCCTTAAATTGACAGGAGATTATGTAACTGCCACAGGGGCCATCTTGGATTTCTAACCACCACCCAGGGAACATCACCAAATCTGCCAACGGCTCTCCTGCTGGGACTAGTCGACAAAACAATTCTGACTCATAGCAACCCTATAGGATAGAGTAGAATTGAATCTTTGGGTTTTCCGGGTCTATAAATCTTTAAGGGGGCAGACCGCCTGTTCCTTCTGCAGAGGGACCAGTGAGTCCAAATTGTGGCTAGGAACCTGACTCATTATCCACCCCAGCACCAGAGTCTGAATAGTAGACAAGGACACTACAGCTTCCGGCCAACCCTGTTTCGGGGTACACCCATCAAGTCAGTCTCTGGGGACAACGAATGCTCCAGAAAGCTCCTGAGGAAAAGGGAGAGGCTGGGGGCTGAGGAGCCTGTGTTTCACAGGAAGAGACCTGCAGGTTCACAGCCACACCCCGTTTCCTCTGCAAGAGGCCATCTCTCAGCTCCAGGGACCCCTCGCCCTGTCGCCTTTGAAACCCGCCTGTGGTTCGGTGGGAGGGTGAAGGAGCGGGAGCTGTTGCTTGAAACCCCCTGTCCTGGTGGCCACAGCTGAGCCACAGCACGTGGCCAAGTGCCAACACGCAGTACACCCCACTTCCTGTCCACTGTCCCCACCCCCACCCCCCCACCCAGTAGAGCTGGGCGCAGAGGGGTGGGGTGGTACTGGGCGGGCTCAGACTGGAAAGGAACCTGCGGCCAGTGTGATGAGAGGCGTCCAGTCGGCCTAGTGGACAACAGCTCCGAGTCTCTGGCAAACCCATAGCAGGGGCAGAGAGCAGGAGGGGAAAGACAAGCATCGTCTGGTTTTAGGAAATGCACTGTACACGTTCTGATCTCTTCCCACCCTCCTGATAGGACATCGCCAGAAGCTAGATGATCAAACCAAGCCGGGGAGCTTGTCCTTCTCCGAGCGGCTCAGTGAGCTGGAGCAGCTGAGGCGCACAGCCATGCGGGTCAGCCCGCACCACCCAGCCCCCACGCCCAACCCGCGTGCCTCCTTGAACCATTCCACGGCCTTTAACCCGCAGCCTCAGAGCCAGATCCAGGGTAAGTACCTCAAGAACCCCACTGCCCACCACACCCGTCCGCGCCACCACCCACCTCAGACCTGGGCACCGGTGGGCGAGTCCCACCCAGACCGATGGTGGCTTTGGCTCGATGCGCATGCACAGGCCTGGAAGCGTCTAAGGAATGTAGTCTGTTGGGCCCCGTCCCAGGCTTACTGAGTCTAGATTGAGAAGCACTGTCACAGAGGTGATGGTGAGAGGGGGGTGTGTGCGTCCGTCCGCCCACAACTCAACTGCCATTGAGTGGATTCCTACGCACAGTGGCCCTCTAGGGACAGTCGAATTACTCCTGCTCTCTCGGGTCTCCCAGGCAGTAAGTCTGCACAGGGGCAGGTCTTTCTCTGCAGAGCACCTGCCGGTTCATACTGCTGACCTTGCGGACAGCAGCCCAAGGCATAACCACAGGCCGCTCCACACATACATATTACTGAGTGCTTTGAACCTTTGCTTTGGTGATGGGACTTTCTGGGGTGCCATTCGTTTTGCTGTTGGTTTCAAAGCCACGCACCGGTGGTATTGACTGCTCCAGTAACAAGACTGCAGGATTTAAGGACACCTGCTTTATTGTTGGTGTGAGTCACCGCAGTCAGATCCAGCCCATCGCGAGCCTTTTCATTGGGGCTTGGGGCCATCAAGTCACATCCGACCGATAACAAGCCTCTTAACCACAGACCAGACACTGCCATCATCTCACAATTATTCCTGTGCCTAAGCCCCCTGATGTGGCCACTGTGTCAATCCATCTCGCCTTGGACCTTCTTCTTTCGCTGCCCCTCCACTTTCCCGAACATGATGTCCTTCTCCAGGGACTGGTCTCTCCTTACAACATGTCCAAAGTATGTGAGGTGAAGTCTTCCCATGCTTGCCTCGAAGGAGAACCCTGGCTTTACTTCTTCCAGTACCGACTGCTTGGTCCTTTTAGCAGGCATGGTACTTTCAATATTCTTCTCCAGCTCCATTCAAGCGCATCGGCTCTTCTTCGTTCTTTCTTATTCAATGCCCTGCTTTCACCTGCATGTAACGCATGGAGAACACCATGGCTTGGGCCAGGTGCCCCTTAGTCCTCAAAGTGACATCCTTGCACTTCATGTACCCATTCCTTTTGAACAGACACACACACACACACACAGCTCAGATGAAGTGACAGTAACAGGGGGAAGCACACATGCTTCAATTTCTTTTCTTCGGGTCACTTTGTGGGGTTTTGTATATCACACATACCTTGGCAGGATTGAAATTTTTAAATAGCAGGAAGTCCTCAGAAGGTACAGGTGCTGTTGCATATAAAGAGCATCATTTGCAAATCACTAAGGAATGAAGCATCTCCCTCCCGCACTGTGCGACTAGCTGGGGATTTACAGAAACACTGTAAAATAAACACGGTCATGGCATAAAAATCCACTGCACCCAATTCGATGAGACACAGAATTCTTTGTGCATGACAAAAGTGCAGGCATTTTCTCTGAGCCAGGCGGGATGGCTGTACAGGTTAGGGTCACAGTCAAGTTCCTTTCTCAGAGGAGCAGGGCGGAGAAGACACAGAAAACAGCAGCAGGGAAAGGGCTGTGGCCAGCATGGTGCCGTGTCTCGGATGTGGTGCCTTCCTACATCTCCCCAGACCTGTCCGGGCCCCCACCCCCAGAGTGTGCTTGTGCGGCGACAAGCATTTCAGGCTTTAGTGTCCCCGGGGAAGTTACAGCCCTTGGAGGTTCCTGAATGTGGGACATGTTTGCACTCGTGAGCAGGTGGCTGGCCAGAAGGTGGGTGGTTGGTACACACCTGCCTGTGGGGCTGCAGAGAACCTCGCTGTGGGGCTGTGGAGAAAGGGCTGGAGATCCTCTTCCGTAGAGATGACGGCCATGAAGGTTACGGAGGCCATTACGGAGGTCGCACAAGAGTGGCCATGAGCTTAGGTGGACGTTGACGGCAGTAGTGTGGTCAGTGCTGGGTTACCTAATACGCAAGGTAAGCACGGGCTTAGCCATGCTTCCTTGCTAATTGATCGTGAGCGGTCTCGCATCCTCCCAGCACCTCAAAGACTCTGCTTCAGCTCCGGTTGATTGGTCTGACGCATCTCTCTCCCAGCCCCACCCGCCTTCCTGTTCTATCAACGCCTCCTGCCAAATGTACGCTCCCCGACAGGGAGGGCGGGCCCTGGTGGTGCAGCAATTATGTGTTGTGCTGTCCGACGCACGGTCAGCGGTTTGAATCCGCCATCTGCACCTGGAGAGAAAAACAAGGTTTACTACTGCGTTTTATAGAGAGTTGCAGTCTCAGAAACTCACAGGGGCCGGTGGACCCTGCCCTCTAGGGTCGCTAGGAGTGGGTCCCAAGTGGCTGGCAGTGAGTTTGGTTTGGACGGGGATATGGAGAGCCCAGGGAGCAAGGCCAGCCCGGGCCCCCTTGCGCTGACTTAGTAATCCATGGCAACCAACTGCACAGCTTCACCACTTCCTGCGCTTGGTGGTTTTAGTTTTAGCATGCTCTGGGCTAGCACACCTGGGCCCTCTCTCTCGAGCTCCCAGAGCGTGAGGTCCACGCCCCGGGAGTCTGCTGTCATGTTCCTGGAGTGGTGCTCTTGCAGGAGTGGACAATTCACACAGGGATCTTTCAATAAAAGACAGCGTCCGTCTTAGGCTAGCCCTCTCTAGCACAAACAGAAACCTTGAAGCAGCGGGCTTTGACGTTGCTGTCTGTCGAACTGCTCATCTCAGGTGTCTGTGGGAAGTGGTTGTTAAGAGCCATCGCGTGGGCTCCGACTGACAGCGACCCTGTGTACAACCACTGAAAAATGCGTGTTGATTCTTGGAAAGCGACTCCACAGTGCCAGCATGTGTGGTAAATTAGGTTAAATGGCACTTTCCAGCGAGAGGGCTGGGCCGCGGTTGAAATGATACTTTTCTTCTGAAAAGAAGAAAGCGTACTCAATGACGACGTTCCCTTCACCCTCCCGTTCAAGGCACTCGAATGGGTGGAAGGCATCTCTCTTGGGGGCGCCCTGCAGGGGAAAGCTGTTTTCCTCCATTCCCCTGTTCTCTGACTGCCCGTCGTGCTGCCAGGTGGACAGAGAGGTTTGCCTTTCCCTCCTGAACACCTGTTGTCCTCTGAGCCATGGCAAGCCCCCCCTCCCCTGCCCCCCGCCCCCTTGGGTGTCAGAGAAGAACCGTGCTCAATAGGGGATTTCAGGGTCACAGAGTCAGGGAGTCTATGTCCAGCCACTTCTGCTGAAGTACCTCGGGTAGTTCAGGTTCGGGTTCAGGTAGACCCGAACCCCCAATCTCTTAGTTCGCAGCATTCACCATTGGCACCAGCCGTGGGTAAAATAAAACCCACCGGTTGCCTTTGAATCTTCTCCAGCTCATGGCCGCTCCCTGGGTGACGGAGTTAAGGGCTCCGTGGTGATTCCATGGTGTGGGTCTTCACGGGAGCAGGGTGCCAGTCATTTCAGCCTTGCTTCCCTAACCGACTAGATTGGGGGGGGGGGCGAGAACAAGCGGGGAGGCCTGTGGACAGAGGGAGGCCTTTCCTGAATGCAGATTCTTCAGCCCCTTTGGCAACGGTAGATGCTTAGCAGAGAATGGGGTGTAGCACGGGCCGTTGCTCCTTTCCTGTTCCTTTTAAAACGACTCTGGCCCTCTGCAGCATCGGAGGTACTAGCACCTCACTTTTACAGCCCCCCAGGGCTTGGCCATGCTTTAAAGAATGGGCCAACGGGACTGCTGACATGCTCTCTCTCCCAAAGCTGACCGTGAGTGTCACTTGTGGAAGTCATAGGGATGACTTCTCAAAAATCATGCCAAGGCTATTTTCACGTCAGCCACTTGGCTTCCAACCTCATCTCCCCCCACCCTGGGGCCTCAAAACACAAAGAACAAGAAAGGAAAGAAAATGCTTGCTCACCCTAGTCATGCCTGGAGCAGACCCTGAAATCTGAACGTTAGCTGGGATCCTATCCTGAATGTCCGCTGCAGCCAGCGCCTGCGTTTTGCCCTCTGCATGGAGGGACACGGTTAGAGTCCAGGCTCACTCTAGAGCAGGGGTCCTCAAACTTTTTAAACGGGGCCAGTTCACTGTCCCTCAGACCGTTGGAGGGCCGGACTATAGTTTAAAAAAAAACTATGAACAAATTCCTATGCACACTGCACATATCTTATTTTGAAGTAAAAAAACAAACAGGGCAGAAACATCTGGTGGGTCGGATAAATGTCCTCGGCGTGCCGCAGGTGGCCTGCGGGCCGTAGTTTGAGGACACCTGCCCTAGGGCTTCTGTGTTCTGCTCCAGAGGACACTTCCATGTGAACCGTCAGCATGGGCTTGTGGCTCTCTCTGAAATGCCAGCCGTCGTTTTGAGAACAAGGCTCTGCCCCCTGTGTGGTCAGAGTGTGCAGCAGCAGACTGGCGGACATGTGCATGTTTTCAATTTTACCAGATAACCCTAACGGGGGGCTCACGGGGGCCACTGGAGTTCATGGGAAGCGGGGAGACACTTCTCAGCCAGAACTTCATCGGAAAGGCTAGCCTGGCTGCCTTCTTGCTGTTGGTAGGAAGCCGCGGACATGAAATAATGTCTCTATTTATCTAGAATCACATGTGCTTGCGAACCACTCCAATTAATCTCCAATTATTTGAAGCTGGGTACAAATGGGGGTGGGGGTACAGGTTACCATGCCATCAAATCACTGTTTGTTTGCTGAGGCTTTACTGGGGGGTAGTGGGGGGTGGGGTGGCGGAAGGCCCAGTGGTGCCTTGGTTAAGGCACCTGACTGCCAAGTGAAAGGTCGGCAGTGTAAATCCAACAGCCGAGAAAGACGTGGCAGTCTGCTTCCGTAAAGATTGCACAAGCTCAACTCCCTGCCGTCAGCAACCCCAAAGGACAGGCTAGAACTGCCCCTGTGCATTTCTGAGATGAACTCTTTATGGAAATAGAAACCCCGGTCTGTCTCCCAAAGAGCGGCTGGTCATTTCGAACTGCTGCCCTTG